ATTTCCGTGCCTGTTTTGTAGTGGTAACATCATCCCTAGATTTATAGTCTTCCTTGCTTATATGTGTTCCCATTTTTGTTGGAAATATTTACACATTCTTTCATTGAAATTGGAGGTCATAAAGAAGTTACAAAAGTATCGTATTTACTGTGATTTTAGTGAATACTTTGTGTTGTCGAGCTTCTAGTGTAAATTAGTATACATTGTAATGTCGAATGATTTGGCAAACGAAAACAGAACGTGTTCAGAAAAATTGCAAGACCATTACAAATACATTGATAAACTGCAGTTTGAGGTGTTGTTTGGACGGTCTGAACGAATACTCTGTTTAAGTGCCTTATCTCACTAAGTAGGGTTGCGTGTATGAATTCTAGAACGCCAGTGCGCTCTATTTTGGGCTAAGTCTCCCGTTAGCTCTAAGTACTGTTTTGTCTTTTGAATAGGGACGTACGTTGTAATGCCATAGGAATGCTTCTGAATTTGATGGTAGGGGTCACATTTGAAGTTTCTGCCTAATCTTTATGTACTCAAATTTGAAGTTTGATCTAGACTGAGAATGCAGAGACTGATACTGCCACTATTACATACAACAAATAAAAAATGATAAATTCACGTACAAATGCGGAGAGCCTGTTCAAGACCTTTAAGAATAGTTAAAAGCGCTTACCGACAATAAAAATGTTTCTGATTACGTTTGGTGCAAAAACTTAAAAGCGCAAAGGGATAATAGAAGCCTTTCAAGTCGCATGCATTTGAATATTCAGAAAGTGAAAGTCATTTGATGTTTCTGTTACTTTAAGATCCATATCTACCGAGTAGGATTTTTTCCCGTTCAAATTCTTTCCCCTGCCCTCTCCTCCTTTCTTACTCTCCTCTATCTCTCTATAAAGTCAACACAAAATGTTAACGTGGCTTAATCGTGACCGTTTAAATAAGAGTAGACCAAAGAGAAGGAGAATTTGGACGAGAGAGAATTCTACTCTCGTATTTACACGCGGTAGGCAGCTTAGTTGTTGAAAGGTCTGAAGAATTGCATGGAAGAGTGTAGAGGAAAGGGACGAAGATATTTCCTCATTGGGGAAATATCTGGAGACTAGAAGTAGTGGTTATTCGTCCGTGATGTAAGAGTGGACATAATCTCTTCGTTCAATTGTTTGATTGACCAAATGCCAAGTTTGGTAAGGTTTCATCTATGCCATGGATTCTTATCAGCCAAGCATTAGTCACACAGTCAAGCGTCACATCACTATTCTGGTACACTCTTTAATCCTTCCTGATAGCAATTGGATTCGAGTGTCGGAAGCTGAACCAAGAAAGCCAAAATCGCTATAATCTTATCGTTTTCGTTGAGTTGTTTCGAGCACCTTGGGTGAGATAAAGTTTGGATGGGCGTTAGGCAACCACTAAAGTCTGTTGGAAAATTCCACTTGGAAGCAGAATCTTGTCTGTAATCGAGAGCTTTTGTATGGCAACTGTGTGTAGTGGAGGAGGAAGCATGCCTTTCACTAAGGCAATCCCACCTACTTGTTTGTTACTGTCGGATTGAAAGGAAGGGAAAGTAATCAAAGTTGATGCACCAAAAGGCTCCATTTATTTTGTGGTTAGAGGAGACCGTACTTTAACAAGGTTGTCTGATTAGGTCAATTTTTATATTGAGTAAAATCGAATAAGATTCAAAATATAGCAAATCTCATATTTTTTGTGAAAAGTACTTACAAGTGACTTAATAAGACATCCTACCGAAGTTTTTCTGGCCGAGGCCAAATCAAAGCAGTTGCATTAGTAATGATAGTTTCTAATGATAAATAGCACAACATCCATATTGCTTCCAGCTTATACCCCATTTTCTTGGTCCTCTTTCTTGACTTGTTTTAAACAAATGAAAAAAAAAATCACCGCTTATAGACAAGATGATAATAAAAAACAAAAATGACGGGCTAGGTTTTAAAGGAGTTGCTCAACTTGAACTTTATTGGGTCCCAATTAAAAATCTAAATAGAAGTGGCAAATTAACTCTTTAGATTATTAATGGGTACTCGTTAAAATCAGTTTAATTTGATATCACCATAATATAGATGTGAGATTAGTAGTGGTGATGATGTAAGGCAAAATCAAATTAAATGAGTTTTAATAACAATTCAATGAGTTGTTTTGCCACCTCTAGATCCAAAGATCCCAACTCATTGGTTAAAACCCAATTACAGTATGATACATATAAATAAAAAAATGGTTAAAACCTTAAAAGAAATTCATATACATTATAGATGTGGGTTAGGTTAGTTGACCAGGGTAGTACTCGCTCCGTTATATTCAAGTTCGATTTCTCCTCTTGTAAATTTAGATTAAAGTAATGTTTATGCATACGTTAAACTATGATTTGTCTATAAGGGAAAATGTAGTAGACTATTTTCTATTTGGTAATAGCATAGGAATATCACTTTGTGTTTTTCTTCTCCATCCATTTGGCAATGCCCATGTGGATGACAATGTGCACAGTGGAGGAGTGGTTCTCTTCTTCACCTTCAAAACAAAGCAACCCCACTGGTTTTGTTCCATTTGTTCATGATTTGGACTGCCTGGACGGCAAGAAAAGTCTTGAATTCTTAGTACAATTTAATTGATACATTGCCTCCAAGGCAGGAAGTCTTGGGTTTTGGAGAAAGAATTGTAGTTTTTAGTCTCGGTCGAGTCACAAGTTTTTAACCTTGTATTTGGATTAGTGTATTTATATATATAATTAGGTTATTATAAGATAGAATTAATGTCTTTCTGTGTAGCCGGCATATTATATACAATATAACATGGTTGAAACGTGAATGTTGATTTCTCAGTGTTGAACAAGACAAACAGAATATTAACACGTTGTGTTATTAATTCAATTGTTATAATATGGATGATCGACGAGTTTATGTTTTAAGAACAATGTAATTAATAAAATACATAAACAAATTGTAACATTACGTGACTGAATAACCGCCGTACGAAAGAAAGAAGGGGTTATAATGCCTTGAGAGTCTTTGACCATATCAATACTCAACAGGAGCATTGTTATTGACTTTGAATATGCTAAGAAATGCAACCAAAGGGGTCGAAATTCAATTTTAAATTGCAGGCATGACTTAGTGACTTTGAATCGGTTGAGAAATTTTCCTGGCCGGGAGTTTTACGGTAGGGAAACAACAGTTCTAGACGAGAACAGTATTCTCGTTGAATTTAATACAAGCAACTTAAAAAACGAGATCTTGTGTATCAAAAAATTCGTTGACATTGTCCTACTAAGATAAAAACTTACATGTAATCAAGTGATAGATATCTGTTATGAGAGTTATAGGAACAGATGTCCCATCACAAGCTAGTTATGTGAGAATGCGAGGACAAAAGTCCTACATTGGAGAGGACCTAACTATGCAAAGGTTTATAAGAGGTTGAGCTACTCTTCATATTGCTAATTGGTTTTATGGTAGAACCTCAATTTTCTTCATGATATCAGAGAAGATTGGCTCATTTGTGTCGCCAAAAGCCACATGTACTATACGTCAACGAATTTATGTTATCCGCTTGTTAAGCTTGATCGCCACAAGATTATTCATATGCATTCTAACTTGAGCAAGACCAAGTTTAGGAGCCCAATCCTGATGTGGGTTAGCAATTCTCATGTTTGGTTCCCTCCCAAATTTCAGATCAGTCCAGCCCAATTCGACCAATTCAGAGCCCTTTTTGCATTCAACTAGTCTGCCCAGTGGCCCACTGTACTAATCTTTTTGACCAAACTGAATAAAAGATACAAAATTCAGGACCAAAGGCAAAGCAACAAAGCAAAAGGTAGGAATAGTGTATATGACCAAACAGATTGCTTAAGGGAAGGGATCCTTATTTTTTGAAAAAAATAGGGATTAGGTGTGGGGCCCACTACACATCGAATTTCAACGATCCGAACCGTCTATTTTGTTAGTCTCAATTCATAGATCATCCTTGCAAAAATTCAATTCAATCCGAAACCGTTTGCCTATTTAATTATCAAGATCAAATTTCATTTTTTCTTATATAACAAAGTATTCGTTCATTTCTTTGAACCCAATTATATGTCTTAAACATTTCCGATTTAGCTAATATTTTGCAAGGATGATCTATGAATCGAGACTAACAAAATAGACGGTTCGAATTATTGAAATTCGATGTGGAGTGGGCCCCACACCTAATCCCCATTTTTTCAAAAAATAGGGATCCCTTCCCTTAAGCAATCTGTATGACCAAAAAGGACACACAGATTTATGTGCCCCAAACAAAACCCAAACCACATAAAAATAAATAAATGGACAACGTGTATGACGAGTTTGATAACTAATTATGTCACATGTGCCCGTTCGGTAGAATATTTCAATTTCCCATCCCCTAATAATGTTGTATTAAAAAAGCCTAGTAAATGTCTATGACAAGGGAAAAACCTGATTAAGCATGCAATCTCACCGTTCGTATACAATCTTATATGTGTTTTTAGTCACGTGATGATATAAATGAATGCATAGTTATTTAGAATCAGAAGCATCTAAGAATTTTTCCAGACAATTACACTTAGTCATCAAAGTGAGCTATATATCGTTGTATACACTAAATAATCTTTGATCACAAGAGAAAAATTGATGTTTGCTTGACTAGAAAAATTCAGTAGTACACGTGATCGGACTATCTACACAAGTTTTCTCCTTTCTAACCGCATAATTGCTCATCAACTTGCTTTCAATTGAGTTAGTATCTAACTTTGTAATAAGTTGTAATAAATGAATTGTTCTATAGCAAATCAAATTCAAGAATATGTAGTTTTCATGCATTAATGAATGTGAAGCTGCTCCAATTTGTGGAGAAAATTTTCCATGTACAAGAAACATCGTTCGGTACATCAAATGTTATAATACAAGTAATTGATTTTTTTTTTTAAATATCTATGACACTTGGTCGTGTTTCCGGTACAGGAAAAAATCTCTCCAATTTGTGGTGGGGTTAATGCTAATATGCTGTGATGGGCAGAGACAACACATAATTGCTTCTCCTTTTTATCCCAATAAGAAGGAGGCACAAAAGTAAGGGAAAAAGTGGGTGAGTGGTCACAAGATTTAGGGCGGGCCTTTCTTTTGAAAAACAAATCCGGAAATACACTACCCATTACCCACACCCACCCACGTTCCTATTAACCATCCCTCCCTCCTTCCTCTAAAGCTCCTACAGCCCTACAACTTGATCAATCTTCCTTCTCTGCAACTCCAAACAGTCCAAATTCCCTTTTGGAATTCAGATTTTCAGTGGAATTTAATCATGAAGTGGGGTACCAAAAAGCAAAAGAATCCACCTACTTCTTCTTCTTCTTCTTCTTCAAAGCCTTCTCTGATCTCTCGTGTCTTTCCAAGTTCATGGCTTTCCAAGTTCAAGCACAAGAGTGGGAATTCGGAACCGAAACCCAGGAAGGGAAACCGGAAAGGGAAGCAGAATTCTCCGCCTTTGGATTTGCCAAGGTGTGGTAGTCATGGTGGTGGGAGGTTTCATGGCGTGGATGATGACGAGGATGATGCGTTTTGGAGGCTGTCTTTTGGGGAAGATAGTGCTGAAGGGAAGAACGACAGGGGGGTTTTGAGGTCGGTGCGGTACGATTCGAACGATGAGTTTGACGTTCGGAAATCCATTTGTGGAGGGTTTCAAAAGAGTGGTAGAAAAGTGGAGGGAAGAGAAGGGTCTCAGAAGTTGATGGGCATGCATAAACCTGGGACTGCTAAAGACTCGAAATGGATGAAGAACGGAGGAGTTTTCGGAACGGAGGAATTCGAACGAGAAGCAGTTAAGAAAGAATACAGATCAACAGGTTCTGTGAGAAATGATGTACTGGAAATGTTAGCAGCAGTAAAGAATCAAGATTTATCTTCACGGAATTCGAGAACTTCCGGTCTGGAAACAATTGAGGAAGAGGCTTTGAACCCGGAGACTGCAGAAGAAAAACAGAGTTCAGATTGGCAGAGATTGAAAGAAAGGAAATTGGAACAGGTGAAGTCGAAGGGCGAGAAACACCGGAAATCTCTCTACATAAGCAGGGAATTGCAGAGGAGAAGGACAAGGAGAAGTTGCAAAGTCAGAGTCTGTTCTCCGCGGACAGCTTCAAGGGTCGAAATCTGCAAAGTGAAGGCTCTCGAACATGACGAAAGCCAAACTGAAGACTGAAAGTGAGGCTAAGGAGAGAGCGGTACAGCAGGTAAGAACAGGGTTGAACAGCTTTGCAGTGGTGAAGTGCTCGTTCGAACCACAGAAGGACTTCAGAGACTCCATGGTTGAGATGATTGTGGAGAAAAAGATAACACAGCCGGAGGATCTGGAAGAGCTCTTGGCTTGTTACCTGACCTTGAATTCCAACGAATACCATGATCTCATCATCAAGGTATTCCGGCAGGTATGGTTTGACATGAACCGGACCTGTTTCGGTACTGAACTACAGAATGAACAATATGGCAGCGACTAATTTCTCTTTAGCTAATGATAGCAAAACTTGTAGCCAAATTGTAAAAGAGATAACACTACTACTTTTCTAATTCTAATTGCTCTTACTGCTTCAAAATTTGTGAAAGTTAACTAAGCAATGCAAATGTAGAATTACAATGTGTGTAAGATGCACAAATGTGGGGAAGATGAAGGTGGTAAAACCCAGTTTCAATCCTCAAACCCCGCAAAAATTCATACGGTTCTTCAAATCAAAAGTAAAAATGCTACTTATCGCGAGGAACCTACAACCACAGAGAACTCAGTCAAAACAGGAGATGCATAATAAGGCTGTAAACAATCATTTCATATGAGTTCAGAATTATGTATTTCCCATAACTACTCGTGTCAGATGAAGATATCCTCAGCAAAGAATATAAATTCTATAAAAAAGAAGCAATCACTCGAGCTGAAGACCCTTCGTTGAACTATCCAGTCAACCAAACACCAGATGCCCAGTTGGAATGAAACGGAATTAAGATCATTGAGCTTCAAAGCAACTGGGTTAACAGACTCGTGTGCACAGCCATATGAAGCGCAGCAAATTGTCTAATAACAAAAGTTAACGTGGATGAAAATCTGTGAATTGTTGATTAACGTACATGGCCATCACAAGGAGAGCAGGATTAAAAGCACGTAAAATTCAGACATAAAAATAATTAAATGATGTTGTATAAGTTTATAGGTATAAGAATGTAATTAGAATATAAAGATAATGAAGAAGAAAATGAACTCAAAACACAGAATATCTATATATAGCCAGAACAAAGTATTCATACCTAAATTTATACCGGAATAAAAGAACTAGTAATATCAGGTTTTCTCTACTGGAGTAAGATGCCCCATCTGTTCTGTAAGGTTATTTACATTCCTCATATTCCACCACAACATACCATGATCACCAGGTTTGCTGTCATTCGTTTTACCATCGGAATCCTTTCTTTCAATCAGAACTTCCTGTGCTTCCGATGTACCAGGATTCTCTGTTAAGAACTGTTCCCAAAATATGTCATTGACCCCGGTGGGTGCAGAAGCAGTGGTTCCAGCTGGTTTTTCTTTAGACGTTTGTTGTGTCAAGGCGGTGGTGGGTGCAGAAGCAGCAATTCCAGCTGTTTGTTCTTTCGAGGATTGTGATGCAGCAGGCTTGGGAGCAACAGAAGCGGGGGGTTCAGCATTCATGTCAATTCCAGGGGATTTTGACCGAATGTCAGCATTCAGTTGTATGGAAGACAGAGCTGTGCTTTCGTTACCACTTGTAGATTCATCCGCCTCTCGGTTTGAACCAACCTGGACGTTATTGTGACCAACATCATGAATGGTATCTTCCCAAAATGTTAGGAAAGACTCCAACTGCTCCAACTTTTCCGTACCCCCATTTTCTCTAATTACAGCTTGTGAAGTAACCATCTGATTATATCCACTGTTAGCATCATCGAAGGACCAACTGATTCTTGGCAACCTTCTCTTTCGCTCACGGACTTCTAACTGCGGAACAGGATTGGAGGCAATCCCCGGTTTGTGCAAAACCCTAGCCACGAAAGCCGCCATGCTTTGCTGCTGCTTTTCCATGTGTTGCAAACGGTCCATCAAGAACTGCATCTGCAACTCCAATTCATGCCGCTCCTGCTCATGCCTCTGTACCTCCACACCAAGGCGTTCTTTCTCATGTTTAAGCCTCTCGATTTCATCCTTCATACTCTGCCGTTCAGCTTCGGACAATGAAGTCCCTTGCCCTTGGACTTGAAGATTCTGCAAAGAGTGGCTGTGCACCGGCTTTCGCCTACGGATCTTCTTCATAATGTGTGGCTGACCTCTAATAAAATCGTCATTGGTGAATTCCCATTGCTCCGGATCAATTTTTCTAAACCCTATTGTAATAATTCAAATCATTTTAAGCAACTAAAACTACAAACATACCATAAATGCGTATACACCAATGTCAAACAACAGAAGCAAAAGAAAGCAAGCTGAAACTGAAACTGAAGCGGAATCGAGTTAAAAACTCGATTGACTTACGTAGGTATTGAGCTGCCTGATGAAGCTAGAGAAGTTGTTGTGCTTGAAGAACTTTGGCAGCAAATCTCTAGCGAACTCCGGCGGATTCCAAACAATGAAGCTCTTATTACTGGCACTCCATGACACAATTGAATCTGTTAAAGCATCATCTACCATCTCATATGTCTTGGAAAGGAAAGGAGGCAGCGAACTCGTGCCACCTTGAACTTCCTCCATCCTAATCAATTGATTCAATTCCCCACAACCCAAATCAAAACCCTGAACTAAATCAACAACCCCATCGCGGAAACTCTAAAATCCCAGAAAGTTCAAATCCATCAAGCTCCCTTGTATATGCAGGACCAAAACTCCAATCCGAAAACCTCGAGTTTACATGCTTTCAACCCGAAAAACGAAACTTTCCAATGAATTAAGGTTAGCTAAATGATCAACCACTCCTCATTGCTCAAAGCTCTAATATTCTTGAAAAATCAAATCCTTCAAGCTCACTTGGTATATGCAGGACCCAAAAATCGATTCGAAATCCTCAAACTTACATTTTTCAACCCAAAAACGAATCTTTCCAATGAATCAAGAGCACCCGAAAACCCCCCACAAAACTCTAAAATCCCAGAAGAAAAATAAAATCCTTCAAGCTCACAAAAACTCGATTCGAAAACCTCAAATTTTACAGTATCTCAACCCAAAAACGAAACTTTCCAATATCAATGGGACCCAAAACCCAGCTGAAGACCCTTCAAAAGAGAACCTTCCAAGACCTCAACTTTACATTGAATCGGATGAACCCAAATGAAAATCGCATTGAATTTTCAACTGGGGACTCGAAATTCAACCAAATAAAAATACCCCAAATGGGGACGACTGAAAATTCTGGCTAATTACCAGAAGTCGCAGTTCAGTCAACCCCGAAGAAACGGAAACAAGAATCCAGCAATTGACCAAAATCAAATCTCTCAGATAAGTTTTCAACTCTGATTTATTTAGTTGGAGAATTCGAAACAAAATCGCATTTTTGACGAGTCGTTTTGCAGCTCGTTGGAACAGTTTCCGGAAACGAAACTACAGTTTCAATTCGCATTCTTTGAAAAGTCGGGAGGTTTGAAAAACTAAAAAAATTAATGGAACGGAAGGCTTGAAGCGAAAGCAACGAGAAGTTGATAAGAATAGAGGGGGTCAGTAGTAGGAAGTTGCAGAGAGGAGAGAGAGGGTGATTGGCTTTGGGCGAGCAAATTCGACTGCGAAGCCCCCAAAAACGATTCGAATGGGCCGAATATTTGGGGATCCTTGTTTTCGAAACCCGTACAGAATTTTATTTTTCCCAAGGATTTCATTATTTTATTCACTAGAAAAATAATTTAAGACAAAGAGACAAAACATTTTAGATTAATGCTAACTGACCTCTTTAAAAATAGGATTATAAGACCACCTTCAATAGTGATCTAAAATTTAAAAATATTTAATCCAGAAATAGTTTTTCTGCTTCAATTCTTTTGGCTTAAAATTTTAGCCCGAGATTATCAAAGAATGAATTAAGGCTAATTTAAAAAATATTATGTAAACTATCCTAAATTAATTATAAGAACATTGTAACCTTAAAATATTTAAATTCCGATAAATTTTGAAAAATCACTAAATTAATACATGAAAATCATGATAAACCACATAAACTTAATACAAATGACAATTAATAAACCACATAAACTTAACAACAAAAAAAGACAGTTAAGAAACCACATAAACTTAATACAATCGAAAACTCATAAACTTAATAATGATATCCACCATCTTGACTTGGTGATGGACTTGGATGATAGTCTTGAGATAAATCGTCATCTTGAAATATACTCCTTATGGCATTCCTTCGTAAAATATCATTTTGCTTACCACGTAAGTATTTCTTCCTCTCTAGAGTGTATTTGTCGAGGTCCTCCATCATCAAATTAATTTCGAACCTTTCTTGCTCCCTATCCCCTTGTTCCTTCATGGCCAAACGCATTTGGGCCGATTCTTCTTGCCGAGAGATATGGTTTTCATTCATTCTTACTATTTCGCTAGCAAATTGTGCACGTATCGGATCTTGGGACTTTCCTTTTCTCTTTGCTTCCTTTTGCTTGTCTCTACCCAAAGGCCTTACAAAAGAAGAAGTTGGGGTTATTTGTTCGACACCTTCATTGTCGGAAAAATTCACACCTTCATTGACATCATTTGGGGTGGGGCTTCACTATGAAATAATCTTCCCCATTGTTGGTCCGCATCGGTTCCCCACCTTGGACAATCCTTGAGGATGTTCCAAGCATGATGCAACTTAAAAGCTTGATTTTTGTGTGTAGTTCTTGTCTTGTAAATTGTCATTGCTTTGTCACCCTATGCAACAAATACATAAAAACAATTAGTTGCAAAATACTATTATGTACATGACAAATAAAATATCAACAAAGAAACTCACAATTTTTGAGGCGCCCCTTCCACTAGGCATGTCAACCATGGCTTTCTCCAAGCTCCCTTCCACAAAGTGCACACTTTGTTGATAATTTTCCACTGATCATAAACACACCAGCTTCCATTCGACCGGCGTTGGAGTTTTCATGGAACTTATCAACGATTTTATCCCACAAAACCTTTCTATTTTGATTCGTGTCGACGGCACCATCTTCGCTAATAGAAATCCATGTCAAACATAAAGCAATATCTTCGTCAATAGTCCAATTACGACCTCTCACATGCTCTTTTGCCATCTTGAAAATTTTGGAAATGAGAAGAAATGGTAGAAAGAAAAATTAGAAGAATTGTAGGAGAAAAGTGAGTTTTGTATGGATGTTTGAACAAATACATAGGTATTTATAGAGTTTTTGATTGAATTTTGAGGTAGATAATTTTTTTAAATTATTTTAGCCGTTGGATTTTAATTTGGACCGTTAGATCTTTTTTTTTTTTATCGTTAGATTTGATTATATTCGATCTAAGCCAATGGTTACATACAAAACTTGACAAACCGGGGGGACACACCCACTTGGGTGGGGTCCACCTCGGTTGAATAAAGGTTGAAGGCCTTGCGTGTTGTGCGTGAAGCAAGTGACAGAGGGCAATTGGGCTTCACAGCCCATGTTTCAGTCACAGAAATTGGGGTCCACTCCAATTTGTGGCCTAAACTTGGGCTGGTATTTGACCTCCATTTGGGTTTTAGGTTTTAGGTTAATTTTAGGTCATGGGTTGGAGTGGATTTTTTTTGGGGGGGGGGGGGGAGGGGAATTATAGGTTTTAACCCATTATTGGAGTTGGTCTAAATAAACTATTTGACGTCGCATGTTTTTTACACAGTATTTTATAATGTTGGCATAAAAAATAAATTAAATTATGAGATGGCAGAGGGTCTTTCTAGAGAGTCCCCTTAGCATTTCTCTACATTTTAAGTGCATTTATATAATCGTGAAAGTAATGAATGTATAAGATTTGGTTTTTTAATCTCAGTAGTATATTTTGCTCTGTATTAAATGTAAGTTTTTGAATCTCACTCGTACATTTCACGTTGTATTAAATCTAGACTTTTTCGAATTGTTACAAATCTTCATCATTAAAAAGTGGGAAAAGTTGATTGGATTTTGAAGTCACTACACACATTCAATTTTTTCACATTACTTTTTTTTTTAGTACAACGATATATTTTATACTACAAGGACGGAGAGTTCGATTAAGCCACACAATGGACAACCTAATTTAGTATCCAATTTGACATCTACAAGATTCGAACCTAAGATCTCTCACTTACAAATGAAGATGAATATCATCATACCGTAGTACTAAGTGGTTTCACATTACTTATTTGAGTATTCGGATTAAGTTAGCTTTCAGACAGATGTTTGGAGACGATCTTGCTACTGTGTCATTTTGTCTCAACAAAGAGTGCTGACACACATGCTTTAGTGGCGTATTTGCCACCAATTGGAGCTACGCAAGACACTGTTTGTTTAATAAAATAAAGGGAGTATTTTTGCTCACCACCATTTAATATGGTGTATACTCACCATCCTATTTATCACCGTTAGATGAGTTTGAATTTCGAGATTCGTATAGTGAACATGCATAAATCTCAAAATTCAAACTCATCTAACGGTGATAAATAGGGTGATAAGCATTACCACCACTTGAGGGTGATGAGCAAAAATGCACTCTAAAATAAATAAAGAAGACGGTTTTTCAAAGAAAAGGCGATTATCTTCTAACCTCTACCGTACATGTGGTTTGACGATACGCCACTACCACACGTTGGTTAGATAAGTACAAACATGTGTATTTATTTAATCTCACTGTTTAACATTGAGTTATGTGTCAATATTATAAAACATTGTATAAAAAAAAATGAGGTGGCAGAAAGTCTATAGAGAGTTTCAACTTTGAGAGAGTTTCCTTAACGTTTCTCTTGTCATTAGTTAGCAAACTCAATCATCATGCTAGCTTCTCGAAAAATATATTTAAAATTATGACGAATTTTCTTAAAAGTTGTGACGTATTTTATTAAAGAGAAATGCTAAGAGACTCTTTTAAAAGTGAGACTCTCTACTACCTCATGTTTTGTGGCACACTATTTTATAATATTAGCATGAGAATTTGTAAAAAACATGAGGTAGCAGAGAGTCTATAAAGAGTCTCACTTTTATGATGTTGGTATATCCTTTTATGCCAGTCATTCTTTGAAAAAAGGAAAGAGAAATGCTAAGGAGACTATCTCAAAAGTGGGACTCTCCATAGACTTTCCGTCACCTCATATTTTTGGTACAATCTTTTATAATGTTAAGACAATAATTGTGAAAAAAAAAAGTAGTGGAGAGTCCGTGAAAAGTCCTACTTTGAATAGTCTTCTTATCATTTCTCTTTCTCGAATGAGAAAACATATTGGCCCATGAGGCATCGGCTTAAACATAACGTAGAAGTTTGTAAAGTAAGAGATTATTATTGTCCAAATAGCAAGTTGACAATTGACAAATTGCAGGTTTCTCATTTATATATTTTTACAAACTTCTAAATTATAGTTTTAAGCTATAGCCAATTTAGGATTACATCATATAAATCACATCAAAACTTTATAAACTCAACAAAACAATACTATCAAAATCATATCATCGATAATTAACCATTTTTTAGAGATTGCAAGTGTTGTTGGAGAGTTGAATAATAAATTAAAATTATGAATAAGTTGAATGTTCAATTTGTTTCAGTGTAACAAAAATCATATCAAGATTAACAAATTATGAATATCATACATGTGGATGCGATTCTATCTAATCAAACAATTATGAATAACTATGTGATTATACGTATGTACATACTAAAGTAGAGGCAACTTCATCTATCTAATCAAACAATTATGAATAACTACGACAAAATAGTAGTAGTAGAGAGTCCTTGAAAAGTCCTACTTTAAATAATCTTCTTATCATTTATCTTTCTCAAATGAGAAAACATATTGACCCATAAGGCATCGGCTTGGACATAACGTAGAAGTTTGTAAAGTGAGATTATTATTGTCCAAATAGCAAGCTGACAATTGACAAATTGCAGGTTTCTCGTTTATATATCTTTACAAACTTCTACGTTATAATTTTAAGCTATACTCCAATTTAGGATTACATCATATAAATCACATCAAAACTTTATAAACTCAACAAAACAATACTATCGAAATCATATCATCGATAATTAACCATTTTTTAGAGATTGCAAGTGCTGTTGGAGAGTTGAGTAATAAATTAAAATTATGAATACGTCGAATGTTCAATTTGTTTCAGTGTAGCAAAAATCATATCAAGATTAACAAATTACGAATACCATACATGTGGATACGATTCTATCTAATCAAACAATTATGAATAACTACGTGATTATATATATGTACATACTAAAGTAGAGGCAACTTCATCTACAAAAACAATGTTCTGTATGAAAGATAATCTTCTTACCAAAGTGTAAATGCAGATCAATACTTGAGTTAATTATTATCTAACATTATAGTTTTGTATTCACAACGTAACAATATCAACACAAAAAAGTGATTTTCACAATGTCTCTTGACTCTACTTACACATAGTGCAAGACGCTAATAGGAGATTGCAGAAATCGCCCCTCTATCCATACATACCCTAAACACCACCCAGCTTACAAAGTGGCAGAAACCACCGGATGCGATACGAAAAAAACCAGTGTTGAGAAAGCGAGCACGAGGCAGAGGGCCAGAGGGATGGCGAGCCTGGCCCGCCCCCATCAGTGAGAAGCCGAAAGACTAGCT